TGGTTTTCCATTTTTGACCTCAATTATACTGAGCTGTTATCAAATTTCGAAACGATGCAATAAAAATTTTTTGGCTCATAGCTGCTAGGATACACATTAGACACAACTTAACCTTGCTTATAATTTTTTTCACTTGTGACTTCGTCTCAACTGAATTGTAATCAAATTCAGGGAAGCTCCACAAACGAAATATTTATTATTCATTACAATCTTCATATGTTGTCAATTCACAATCCCCTGCCCCCCCCTGTTGAATTATGTTTTCGTTCAATTCCTATTTAATGTCACACCTCTGGTCAAATAGACCAATCACATCATGATATGTAAGTCGCAGACAAGTATGTAGCCGTCACACTACGTACTCTGTGTGAAACCTACTGTTTGCTGATTGGTTGGTTGGTTTCAATAGACTATGTCGAGAGAGAGAGAGAGAGAGCGTGCAATTTTTCAGTATTAACCGCAGCAGTTAGGCATGCAGTGCTTATTTTCAGCACTAAACGCATTATTTCAGATGCTGACCTTATTTTTAAGATTTTGTCGCATTAAATTAAGCACCCAGCTCTCTTTTTAAGCACAACCAGCGTTATTTCAGAACATAGTGGGTAGATAAAATATTCATTTACCATAAAAAGGCATTATCGACGCATAGGTTAGAGTAAGTTTAGAATTGTTGTAAGTTACTTATAAATAACTGGAATCCTAAAAACTCTTCACTGAACATTTTTTGTCTTTAATATCCTTCGGAGTCACATTCAAGTTATTTCATTAAATAAGCTATCGTTGACACAAACAGGATCCTGGGCAAGAGTTGGTTGCATTCCTATTTTTCTGATAGAATGCAGTATACTGTATATCATGGCAAATCTATTTCTACCTCGCTCACAAAAGCTGGTGTTCCTCAAGGTGCCGTCCTCTCTCCTTTTCTTTTTTCTTTCTTCCTACACGACCTGTCTCATTTGAACTAAACTAACTTAGTCAAATATGCAGATGATCTGACTGTATCACTCACTGCCTATCACTTCCGAGTCTGACTGCTCCAAACTTAATAGCTTTCTGTTGGACATCAGCAAGTGGTCCAAGTCAAATGGTCTTATATTAAATCCTTCCAAATGTCAGGCATTTTACTTTACTTTCAAGCATCGACGTGACTTACTTGAACTAGTTAGCTCGCATGATGCCTGTAGCATAGATGACACTGAAAGTGAAACCAAGTCAAGCATTAAATACCTTGGATTAGTTCTTTCCTCTGACCTTTCATGGTCATCCCACATCTTATCAATCTCTAAGAAAATGTTTCGTCTTACCTTCTATATTAAAAAGTTAAGACAATCAGGTATCAACCAACCTTTACTTATGCACTTTGTAAACCCCTGTATTTTACTTATTGTACTCTATTGCTCTCCATTAATCTTTCCTGGGCTTGTCAAGAAAGACTATATCATATTACGAAGAGTATTAAACGCTGTGAGTAGGGCTTGTGGTCTGCCACTGCGTGAGCTCACCAATATTATAGTTGAGAGACATATAACACCCTATACAAAATGGGCAGAGGCCGTACTGTCAAACCCCTTGCACCGACTTCATTCACAACTATCCCCTTGTATCTCATCAGGTAGGAAGAGAAGTCTATATAAGAAGTTATATGCTCGTACCACTAAGTACAGAAATTCTACAATACCCTACTTAGCCCGTACTTTATGTGATGAAGACTCTGTTAGACGTGAAACATATAAGTTACTATGTCATTAGCGAAGTGAATCAACCCTTTCATTGTTCATCTTTCTGTAATTTTATGGTGTCACACTTTCTATTGTCTAATTAAAACTTAGCTATTTTATTTTAGTTGTTATTACTATTATTACTACAATTTTATACTTTATGCATATTTTTCTCCGTATTGCATACAGTATTTTGCTATGTGGCTGCTATAACAACGTTTTGCTACTATTATTATGTAATGTTTACTTTTTTGTCGTTTTTGAGTAAATAAGATGCAATATTGTACTGAATGCTGAAAATTCCTTGCTGTATCATTAGTACTGTTTTTGGAATAAAGAAAATTATCATTATCATTATTTTGTATGTAAGATGTCCCCGAATACCCTTGACTCCCAACTTATCACATTTTTGATAATAAAGAGAATAACAGACAATAACTTCAACAGAACTCTTCAATATGTCGATTATGTCAATAATAACTTGACATCATAATCGTGCCAGGTTCCGACTATGGAACCCGAAAGCTCACTTTATTCGTGAATTTGTAGTGTACTATCCAGTGTTCTAAATTTAAGTTTTAACGGATAAATATGCGGAAGGCTCAAATGCTACTGTACTCTCTTTCCTTGTCCTGTTAACATGCATATTTTTTGAGTTGTTAGTCCGGCCATACCAGCTAAATACATTCTGATTCCTTTTTCCTGAATTACCGCAACTTTCCACTTTATTCAAAAATACTGTTCTTCGATTGTAAGAAAGTTAGAAACTAGTATCTTGCGTCTAGTCCTTTCTTTCACGCGGACTGAACCCTGTTGGTCAACACCTAGATCTAAGGGTTCCTGCCAGTTGTCTCGAAACTTCTGATAACAAAAATAGTGTTCGGTTACAGGATTTCATCACGAGCTGACATTAGTTGGAGAACCATCGGAAAACCAGCTGGGAGTCCTGGACAGCTGTTTCGTCCTAGTTTGGGACTCTTCAGCAGTACGCACCCACCGCCAGGGTTCGAACCCAGGACCTTCTGGTTACCAGGCGAGCTCGTATACCAATTAGCCTACAGATCGCGCTATGTCGTGAATTGGCAAAAGTTAGGATTCTTGAGCCATTGGATCGAGTACCAGAGGCCTAATGGTATACAAGCTCACCTGGTAACCGGAAGGTCCTGAGTCCGAATCCCGGTGGGTGCCTACTGCTGAAGAATCCCAGAGTAGAAAGAAACACCTGTCCAGTACTCCTTTCAGGTTCTCCAATAGTTCTCCAACTAATGTCAGCTCATGATGAAAATCCTGTAACCAATCAATTCCCTGCAAACCAACAAACACTTAAATTCATTATATAAATGTGATTGAACAGCTTGACAATCATATCGCTGAAGATAATAAGTTAAACGGGTAAAAAACGTTCATCCATTCAATTTAATCCAAGCCATTTCGCCTTCAACAGTCAATTTAATTATCTGTGCTGAAGGGAGTAGAATGTGGACAGCTGTCCGCTCAAGGAACAAAAACGCCACCATCCGTTGTGTTGTGGATCTATGTCTCTGTACACTATTCACACACTCTTAAGCAAATATATCCTTTAATAGCCGTACGGGTTGTATTCCAACTTCTGTAGTTAGGAAAGCGTTAAGAGCAGTCTGAATACCAGGTTAGTAGGGCCAGGCAAAAGAGTTGGCAGTTGGCGCGACCAGGGCTCAGGTCTAGCAGGATAGATGGCAACACAACAATCGGTATTTCTAGCTGAAATCGATCGGAATCAAGCTCAAAGTCGTTCAGGCAGTGTTATTATAATAACAGCGCAGTTACCCAAGCTTACCATAATGCTGAATTAAATCTCAGTAATTCCGATATAATTTTAGCATCCTATAGTGAGTAAACTCTGAATCTCTTCTGAAATGGATTGTATAATGGCACAGACTAGAACTCAGTGCTAGTTTACAGCATAACTAGCGCTAATTCAGCACCGTGTTCTTCATTTAAGCATTGTCAGGAGTAGATCAGAACCTACCGGGTTTGCTTATCAGCTTTATTTCAGCCCTTTCAGATCATTTTCAACACAGACTAGCATTACTTTAAAACGAAAAGACTTCTACTTATTATCATCACCTGTGTCATACGCCGGCGCAATTCATTTAGTTTACAGAAAGAAATCAGTTTTTATAATTGACAGACTTTTGTATTTGTATAAACTAGTACAATGTCACTGCAATCCCGTCAGGTGAGATCCACTGGTAGCATCCTGTAAATAAGCAAAATAAAATATTAGTGGGTGAAAAATTGCGCTCAACACATTCTAAGCATTTACATTTATAAAAGTTTACTTACATAACTGCCACTGTTATATCTATCCCCTGGTATCTTTTTCATTTGCCTAAAAATCGAAAAGAATGTTGTGATTACTACATGTTGAATAAACGTTCACTTATGAAGTAGGCAGGCGTTTCGCAATATTACCTGAATTCTTTGCTTCAGCTTACGCCTTTGGACACGATCTTTCATATTATGGTAGTACAGTTTCGTCGCCTTATCCATTATATCGTCAACCACTCTCGACGTCATTAGTTGGCCGGAGAACTGCGCCATAATTACAGCTACAGAGCTAAGTACTTCATTGATGAAACTTACATCTCATTATTTTATAGAAGGTATAAGGCACAATGCTTGACTTTGTCAAAGTCCCCTGGAATGCAAACTTCAAACCCACTTCAGGTTTTAGAACATGGTGCATCATGAACTTAAGTGATAACCTGGGATCACTCTGAAGGCAGCTAACCATCTTAGAAGTCTACAAGAAATAAGAATTAAATATGTCAACTTACATATTGCTGTTTGTACTTTTCGTCTCTTAAAGATGCTTCCAGCATCTCTAATTGGTCTTCATTCTCGATCGGAAACGCAATTGTTAATTCACTGCTTGCTGGATGGTTGGATTGCAGTGGAGATTTTTGGAATGGTGTAACAATGTTCAGGATTTTTGTATTCAAATTCATAAGTTCCATCACAACATCTTTAAATGAATATTTATTTTCAGGTAATTATCGAGTAATCTCTTAATTGTGGATTCAGTAGCATATTCGTTAGATGGAAATCTAACAAGCATGAATAAAAATTGTAACATTTATTTCTGCCGGTCACACACACTTGTCTTTTTGCCAATAGGAGATGAAGAATGGAATATGGGTGCATTCGAAGTACTGAAAATGAAGGGCTTTAAATTAGGTTAATACCTTGGAATTGGGGCCACGAAGTCATCAAATATGTTATAATCTGGATATTGTGGTTTTATGCAACCAGCCTCACTGGCGACTTCATCAATATCCATAGAGTTGTAAAGAAAATTCTTCTCAATTTTCTTGACATCCCTGAAAAATAGGTTCAACAGAAAACGGTACCTACCTTTTTGGTCTCTTACTAGGCATTGGCAACGTATTTTCGTCCATGCCTGCCCTCTTGGTGCCTTGATCATTGCTTCTCGAAAGCTCTACACCCTTTTTACAATTCTCATATGTATCTAGAAGGGTGATAATGAAATATGCCAACTAACCAAATTCCCGCAGTTGACACTGCAGATTTCCCTTCCGTCCAAGAAATCTAGGTACACACATGCCACTATCTTTTAGCAAGCCTCTTATGGTTGTTGGAACATGTGGAATAAATTTACGCATAAAGTCCAAGATATTTTGCGCAAGAGCCCCTGTTACATTGTTCTGAAGGAACAATTCCATAATTGCCTTTCTGACAAGCTCCTTTTGTGTCATCTTTTCAGGAACAACCTGAAGTTCTATTGAAATTAATTATTACATAATAATAAATGTTACGATTCTCTTCAATTTGGGAAACAACAGTGACGGTCTCACTAGTACTAGGTAAACCCACTGTTCCCTGTACAGTTGAACTTGAAGGCAAAGTTACTGTATTATCCCTTGCCACATCTTCTCTAGATGATGAGCAGTAACGTTTCCAGAAGTCCCAGTCACTAAATACTGCATCACGTAACCGTCTTTGACGACGATAAAATGTTGAGTAGCTGTATCCAAGGCATTCATGCAGTCTGCCAGAAGATATTCTCCTCTTACGACTTGTTGCAGAATGTTGAATACCCGTGTCTAACACATTATCCGATTTGTTTTCCTTATAAGAGAAATGGACAAATAGGACACACCGAAAGTCTAACTCACCTTCATGATTTATAAATCCTGTAAGAGTGATTTCTGTATGTAAGGAGTACCGGTTATATACCTCTACATAAACATCCGTTTCCTTAATATGAAAAGGGATGACAGATGAACTGTAATCACAACTGTTAACATTTTCCTTATGGGAACTATATGTTTTCGTCTATGAAGCAACACAATCACCCCCAACTTGTTTCGTTTGGATTCCCAAGGTTTTAATATATGAACTCGTAAACTGTGCTCAGCAATCGAAAAAAAATTACACTTCACTTATGACAAGTATCCTTTTTCATCAATGGGATTTCAGTTTTCATCCTCCCACCCACCTTTAGTTCATTTTGAATTTTTGTGTTTCATATTTTTTTGTATTTCATTCATGATAAGTATATGTTTTCATTTGTTGTAGTTAATCCATTTAAGTTCTAATATTTTTGAACTTTTAAACCGTGGGCTTGTCGTAAGTGAACTGTTATCATTTATTCGTACACACAAATCATGATAAATGTATTCCCTCAACTGTTTAAAGTGCATTAAACATGGCCCAATATGTTCTATCAAATTTGTTTTTGGTTTTCCATTTTTGACCTCAATTATACTGAGCTGTTATCAAATTTCGAAACGATGCACTAAAAATTTTTTGGCTCATAGCTGCTAAGATACACATTAGACACAACTTAACCTTGCTTATAATTTTTTTCACTTGTGACTTCGTCTCAACTGAATTGTAATCAAATTCAGGGAAGCTCCACAAACGAAATATTTATTATTCATTACAATCTTCATATGTTGTCAATTCACAATCCCCTGCCCCCCCCTGTTGAATTATGTTTTCGTTCAATTCCTATTTAATGTCACACCTCTGGTCAAATAGACCAATCACATCATGATATGTAAGTCGCAGACAAGTATGTAGCCGTCACACTACGTACTCTGTGTGAAACCTACTGTTTGCTGATTGGTTGGTTGGTTTCAATAGACTATGTCGAGAGAGAGAGAGAGAGAGCGTGCAATTTTTCAGTATTAACCGCAGCAGTTAGGCATGCAGTGCTTATTTTCAGCACTAAAAGCATTATTTCAGATGCTGATCTTATTTTTAAGATTTTGTCGCATTAAATTAAGCACCCAGCTCTCTTTTTAAGCACAACCAGCGTTATTTCAGAACATAGTGGGTAGATAAAATATTCATTTACCATAAAAAGGCATTATCGACGCATAGGTTAGAGTAAGTTTAGAATTGTTGTAAGTTACTTATAAATAACTGGAATCCTAAAAACTCTTCACTGAACATTTTTTTCTTTAATATCCTTCGGAGTCACATTCAAGTTATTTCATTAAATAAGCTATCGTTGACACAAATAGGATCCTGGGCAAAAGTTGGTTGCATTCCTATTTTACTGATAGAATGCAGTATACTGGATATCGTGGCAAATCTTTTTCTACCTCGCTTACAAAAGCTGGTGTTCCTCAAGGTGCCTTCTTCTCTCCTTTTCTTTGTTCTTTCTTCCTACATGACCTGCCGCATTTAAACAAAACTAACTTAGTCAAACATGCAGATGATCTGACTGTATCACTCACTGCCTATCACTTCCGAGTCTGACAGCTCCAAACTTAATAGCTTTCTGTTAGACATCAACAAGTGGTCCAAGTCCAATGGTCTTATCTTTAATCCTTCCAAATGTCAGATACTTTCCTTTACTTTCAAGCATCGACGTGACTTACATGAACTAGTTAGTTCGCATGATGCCTGTAGCATAGATGACACTGAAAGTGAAACCAAGTCAAGCATTAAATACCTTGGATTAGTTCTTTCCTCTGACCTTTCATGGTCATCCCAATTCTTATCAATCTCTAAGAAAACGTTTCGTCTTACCTTCTACATTAAAAAGTTAAGACAATCAGGTATCAACCAACCTTTACTTCTGCAATTTGTAAACTCCTGTATTTTACTTATTGTACTCTATTGCTCTCCATTAATCTTTCTTGGGCTTCTCAGAAAAGACTATATCATATTACGAAGAGTATTAAATGATGTGAGTAGGGCTTGTGGTCTGCCACTGCGTGAGCTCGCCAATACTACTGTTCAGGGACACATAAATTCCTGTATAAAATGGGCAAAAGCTGTACTGTCAGACCCTCTGCACCGCCTTCATTCACACCTATCCCCTTGTATCTCATCAGGTAGGACGAGAAGTCAATATAAGAAGTTATATGCTCGTACCACTAAGTACAGAAATTCTACAATACCCTACTTAGCCCGTACTTTATGTGACGAAGACTCTGTTAGACGTGAAACATATAAGTTACTATGTCATTAGCGAAGTGAATCTACCCTTTCATTGTTCATCTTCCTGTAATTTTATGATGTCACCCTTTCTATTGTTTAATTATAACTTAGCTATTTTATTTTAGTTGGTATTACTATTATTACTACAATTTTATACTTTATGCATATTTTCCTCCGTATTGCATACAGTATTTTGCTATGTGGCTTCTATAACAACGTGTTATTATTATGTAATGTTTATTTTTTGTCGTTTTTGAGTAAATTAGATGCAATATTGTACTGAATGCTGAAAATTCCTTGCTGTATCATTAGTACTGTTTTTGGAATAAAGCAAATTATCATTATCATTATTATGTATGTAAGATGTCCCCGAATACCCTTGACGCCCAACTTATCACATTTTTAATAATAAAGAGAATAACAGACAATAGCTTCAACAGAACTCTTCAAAAATAACTTGACATCATAATCGTGCCAGGTTCCGACTATGGAACCCGAAAGCTCACTTTATTCGTGAATTTGTAGTGTACTATCCAGTGTTCTAAATTTAAGTTTTAACGGATAAATATGCGGAAGGCTCAAATGCTACTGTACTCTCTTTCCTTGTCCTGTTAACATGCATATTTTTTGAGTTGTTAGTCAAGGCCATACCAGCTAAATACATTCTGATTCCTTTCTCCTGAATTATCGCAACTTTCCACTTCATTCAAAAATACTGTTCTTCGATTGTAAGAAAGTTAGAAACTAGTATCTTGCGTCTAGTCCTTTAATTCACGCGGACTGAACCCTGTTGGTCAACACCTAGATCCAAGGGTTCCTGCCAGTTGTCTCGAAACTTCTGATAACAAAAATAGTATTCGGTATACAGGATTTCATCATGAGCTGACATTGGTTAGAGAACCATTGGAAAACCAGCTGGGAGTACTGGACAACTGTTTCGTCTTCGTCTGGGAGTCTTCAGCAGTATGCACCCACCGTCAGGGTTCGAACCCAGGTCCTTCTGGTTACCAGGCGAGCTCGTATACCATTAAGCCACTGGGACCTGATCCAGTGACCAGCCCGTGAATTCTAACTTCTGCCAATTCATGATATAGCGCAACCGCTAGCCAATGTCTTCGGCGTGTATTTGTTCTCACACCCGACCTGCTGCACCCTACTAGTGTTCACCAGACTACAGGGCAGCCTGTCGACGGCCGTAATTTTGAGTGCCCGCGAGTGAGATGAACAAGTGATTTACTCGCTTGTAATTGGCCAGTTTGTCATTCTAGTTTAGGTAATTTCAAACATCTTTTAGCTGCCTGGTTAAGTTCTGAATTTCCAGGAGCGTTTTATCAAGTCGGATAGATAACTGACAACACAAACTATTACAGCTCAAGAGAGAAATGATATACCAGGGGGATTTAATTGCTGAATTCAACGAATTCATGCCATATCAAGATGTAAGGACTTCTCAGGAGTGTCAAGAATGCAAACAATGTTCTGAAGAGGTAATAACTTCAAGCAACTTCAATCATCGCTTGACCATTATTTTCAGAGATCCTTAAATTAGAATAATATACAAAGTGGTCTGGTTATTCATCATAAAATCTGCATAATTGATGCAGCATATACGTACACTCATGTATATGTAGATATTCTGTGTTCTTGTCAGGAAGATCGGAAAGCAGGTATCAAATGTCTCAGTAAGCAGTGTAGTACATGTAGGTCACATGTTTTTATTATAAACTAGATCTCCACTCACTTTCAGAATTAATCTTCAGTATAGAGAGAATACAATGAAAGTAAGTAAACACATGCTTCTATAGATGAAGCGATACACTTACATGATATGATTGTATTATTATTAGTCGTCTATCTAAGTTAATGATGAATTCGTTGCGACACTATTACCTATTGTTGTTTTTATAGTCACTATGATCATGAACGTTCTTGTTATTATTGCTGTCAAGACCTATTATTTGTCATGAAGCCGTTGTCATTTTTGCTAAAATCTTTGTACAAGCTTTGGAAACTACTGTATAACTTGTCGTTAAATAATTTTATCATTTCATAATGCTTTGATGGACCCACTAGATATCGACCAACGATAAATTGCGAAGTCCCTTAATGAAAATTATTTAGCTACTTATATATATTGCTTGTGAAGTGATCACTTGTAAATGCTTATCAAGAAATTTTTTTTATTCAGCTCATACACGTAATACCCAAGTTAATAATGCCTATTCTTAAACCTTTTCAGACATATATAAGTCTCCATATGGAAAAACATATATGTGCCGTGTACGCAGATGGAACTTACTGACGGTAACAGAGGACTACTCATCTGAATTATCTGTACATTTGAAATCTAATTTTTGTTTAATAAGCAATTTTTCAATGAATCTGTGTTCCTTCTGTTGTAATGCGATTGTGTTCCAGTAACATAAGTAACATGTGCTAAGTTAGGAGTTGAGGGTAAACTGTTGGGAGTAAATGCGGCGTCTGGAAATCTTTTGTTTATGTGATTATTTGAAACAGTGTGCGTTTATGAATCGCGATGCGTTATGATAATTTGACCATTGAAACAACATGAAACAGAGTAAGCGCGATGGATTTTTGTAGTTAGATAAATTGGGTAACCTAGTAATTTAAGCAGGCAACTGTAGTCCCCTTCTGATGTCACCTCCATATGCATTACTGGATTTACACGCATATGAGGTAACGAGTACATTGGAAGGAAAAAAAG